CATCAATCCATCCATTCATCCATCCACGCATCCATACATTCATGCGTGCATGCATACATACAACTATCTATACACACAACCATACGTACATACATACATACATGCATACCAACATACATACATGCATACATACATGCATACATACATACGTACATACATACATACATACATACACACATACATACATACATACATGCATGCACACATACATACATACTCACCTACATTCACACATACATACATACATACATACATACACACATACATACATACATACGTACGTACGTACGTACGTATGTACGTACATGCATACATACATATATACCTACATACATCCATGCATACATGCATGTATACATATATGCACACGTACATACATACATACATATTTGAATGCACCATGCATGCGTACACATGCATGCGTACATTACATACGTACGACAAACAATCAAACACGTATACAAAGAAACACATGAACGAACGAACGAACGAACACACACACACATCTTTACATATATAGGGAGAAAGGGAGAGAGAGAGAGAGAGAGAGAGAGACAAAGAGAGAGAGAGAGAGAGACAAAGAGAGAGAGAGAGAGACAAAGAGAGAGAGAGAGAGAGATGTGGGGAGGGGGTCGGCCCGGAGTGCACTGATTTCTCTTCCTGCCGTTTTGGACCCGGTGGGGGACGCCAGAACGCGTCAGAGGAGGGGAAGGGGGGGCGACGAGAGGGCCCGAGAGACGTCCAAGAGGGTGCCAAGATCGCCCAAGAGCGCCCCAGAGAGCCCATGGCCGCACAGGAGCGTTTCAAAAGTGGTCCAACATGGCTTGAAGACAGCCGAAGACGGCCAAGATGCCCTCAAAAGGGCATCCACGAGGCCCTCAGGAGACGAACAACGCATGTTTTCTATGTATATATATATATATGGATTTTGAAGGCTTGCCGTGTTTCCGCTTTTTCGTGTTTCCGACGGTCCATGACAGCCTACGAGGCCCCAGAAATTAGCTCATGACGGCCCAAGAGGCATCCAAAGAAGGAGCCACGACGGAGCAAGAGAGTCCCAAGACGGCCCAAGAGTGCCCCAAGACGGCTCAAGAGGCGCCCAAGATCGCCCAAGAGGGCCCCAAGATGGCCCCAAGAGGGGCCCAAGAGAGGGAACAGGAACTTAGAATTCGAGCCGTCCGCCCCAAGAGGCCCCCAGGAGGCCCCAAGAGAGCCCACGAGGCCCCCTAGAGGCCCCCTAAAGGCTTCACGAGGCCCCAAAGAGACCCAAGAAGAGGCCCCAAGAGCACCCCACACGGCCCCCAAGAGGCATCCAAAACTGCCTTCAGGAGGCCCCCGGAAGGCCTCCCACGAATTCAAACGAACCTCCGAGAGTCCTCGCCCACAACCCAGGCACGGTGGCGGGATGGGCCGAATGCCACTAGCTAGTCCAGGACGGCCTCCAGACGGCCCAAGAGGCCCCCAAGATACCCAAGAGGTTCCCAAAAGGTCTCCCAATAGAGCTTGAAGAGACCAACAATTATTTATGTTCCATCGGGTGTTGAATAATTTTGGCTTTTCTGCTTGTTCCGCTTCCCGACGCTGCAAAACGCACCAAGAGGCCCCGAGGATTGGCCCAAGACGGCCCAATAGTCTTCGAAAACGCCGAGGGAACCTCCAAGACGGCCCGAAAGAACCCTCCGCTGCTATTTTGGTTCAAGTTTGGCTCAGGGAATGTAGAACCCAGGCCAGGGAAAGTAGGTGTCACATTTCCGGCCAAGAAAGTGGTGTACAATTCACCCCATGCCTGGCGCCAGTAATGAGTGTCGGGATGAGAAAGTATTCATCGCCGGTGCTTGTGTAGAAGTGCATGGCTTGGTAAGCGAAGAAGGCAGACAGCTCAACGGACAGAGAGGGTGGCTACTTGAAAGGACTGCTCGTACGAACCGGTGGCGTGTGTCTATCAGTGGTGCGGGCAAGGATGAATTCATCAAGCAAGTCAAGGAGGAGAACTTGTCCGTCGTGGCAATGACCTCAACCTTTCAAGGGTGCTTTCCGCGCGGCATCGTTAGGCACTTCTACGATGCATTTGATGCGAGTGATTGGGCGGTCCATGGTCTCAGTCGACTGCTCAACAGTTTGTCATTTGCAGGTGATAGATTTACATGCCTCGTTTGGTGTGCAGACCATCACGAAGCAGCACAAGTTTCTGAGCATTTGAACGCGAATATTTACAAGCTTGCCGCTGCTTGGAAAGTAGCCACCGGACAAGACCGCAGGCCTGCATCATATCTCGTTGTCAGTGATGACCACCCACCAGCGGGAGCGCATGTCGATGTGTTGATCAACTTCCGGGCGCCTGCAGTCGCTACATACAGGGATCGAATCGGTATGTTGTTGCTTACATCTTCATCCCATATCCATGTTGTCACCTTGGCAGCTTCTTCACTCGCGTCCACAAACGAAGAGATCAAGTGGCACCACATCCCGTCGAAGGAGATCTTGCCAAAACTTCCGGCAGGTGTGCAAAGGATGCTGGTCGCAAAGCCGTCAATGTTTGTCGGACATACGCCCGGGTTTGACCATCCAGCGGCATTGAGTTTCCAGGAAAATCTGAATTGGTTCGAAAAGCCACGTGAATTATCAGCGATCGAGAAGGCTGGTGTATTCTTCCAGCAGCTCGGCGACTGGTGGCTCTTCCAATTCCCTCTTCCGCTACCTCTAGCGCATCAGCCTCAGGGGAGGAGGACTCGTGGCAGCGCGAGTTTGCAATATCAGTCCCTGTATCATGCAAGACAGGTGTGGTGTAATCCCTCTCTGTGCTCGTGTCTACGGCTTTCTCCTGCATGGTCTCTGTTTTGTTCCCTCTCTCTCTCTCTTTCTCCCCCTCTCTTTCTCTCTCTCTCTCTCTGTCTCTCTCTCTCTCCCTGACAGCCTCATGGATCAGCCTTAGCGCAATGTTCGCAATTTGCTTACTCTTGTGCTCTCGGCGACACCAACAGGCTGTCAATCATAACAAGACCGCATCTTTGTAGGCACGATTTCCTTGCAGCAGTTCTTGGCGCAGGCATTCGGCAACTACGTGAGCAGCCAGGTTCATTATTGCCAAGCACGGGCTTGATGTTTCCTTGGAGTGCGGTTCGGGGCGCTGCATTGCCCTTGAGTTTGCAGCTAGCCAAGGCCGTGTCGTGGCATTTGCTTGGAGCGTAGAAAACATAGTTTTCAATTCATTATATATAAATATATATGTACATATAAGCCCAACACAAACCAAAACAAAAACGGCCCGAAAGGGCCCCAACCGTGGCCCAGGATTGGGAACGTGCGCCGAAGACCCGAGATCTTCGCCCCAGGAGCCCCCAGGAGGCGTCAAGAGGTCCCCAAGATGCACCGAAAAGACCCAAAAGAGCCCCGAGAGAGGTCCCGAGGGCACTTGAGAAGAACAGTAAGTCCAACATTTTTTTTTCAGCTCGCTTGGCAGCTTCGCTACGCTTGCAACAAAAATGGCATATCCGATGTTCTCCGCCTCCTCCTCGTTCTCCTCCTCCTCGGGTTCTTCCTCCTCTCTGCGGCCTCTTCCACCCTCCCCAACTCATCCTCCTCCCTCTCCCCCAGGGAACCCTATTCACCTCCCCTGATCCGTCCTCTTCCGCAGGCTACGTCCAGCCGCGGCGAATTAATGGGTTCCCGAAATGCCTTTGGCGCCTGTCCTAAGCCGTCGCGGGTGTACCGTCGGAAGTATTGGAAACCACTTGCGCCGTCTTCGTGGTTCTTGAAAGCCCCGGAGAAGAAGTGCCATGCAATAGAGATCCCCAAGAATTCGACCATCCAGCCGTAGCATTGGAGCGCGCGGGATGCGCGCGCGATGGTTCTAGTAGATGTATAAACACACAAGCATATAGACATGTACCGATGTAGACATATGTTTATATATGTATGAGAGAGGGGAGGAGCTGAAGAAATGGGTGGGAGCAGGATGAGGAGGAGGAGCGGGATGAGTGCACGGCAGCTCGGACCTCGGACCCGATAGCATCAGCGTCCAGCGTCCATGTGGATGTGTAGAAGGCGGAGTAGGAGGGGGAGGAGGAGGAGGAGGAGGAGGAGGAGGAGGAGGAGGAGGAGAAGGAGGGGGAGGAGGGGGAGGAGGAGGAGGACGAGGGGTATGATCGAGGAAGCGCACACGTGAACTGAGTCGCTCGCGTGGCTTGCGGCGGGCCCTGTCTCCGTGCAACCTCGGCGCGCTCCGTGGCCAAGCCAGACGTTGGCTCCACGCTGCGCCCAGGTCCGTGAAGCATATCAGCGTGCGCCCGGCCCCGAGATCCGACGGCGCGAAACAATCGCCACCTCGTGACAACGTCGCCCAGAGCCCTGGGCCCCATCTTGCGGCATCGTGTTTCGGGCCGCATGGATCTGCGAGGTCCCCAGGAGCCCGAGGCCATGCGAAAGCGCCCAGGCCAGGACCTCAGGGGAGACGACCGGCGGCGAGCGAGGGGGGGACGTGAGGAGGAGAAGGCCTTCTCAGAGGGCGGCGGGGCATCTCGGAAGCCCTCGCGCATTCTGAGAGGTTGTCTGCGTCGTCGGGACAGGCTCCGAAAGCTTGCCAGACGGCCCGGGGGCTTCGAGCCGTCTGAGGAGGCCTCCTCCTCCCTCCCCCCCCCCCCCCCCGGCTCGCCCGCGGAGACGAACTCGGCCCCCCCCCAAAAAATAGCAGTCTTTCTCTTCCTCCTCCTCCTCCTCCTCCTCCTCCTCCTCCTCCTCCTCCTCCTCCTCCTCGCTCCTCCTCCTCGCTCCTCCTCCTCCTCGCTTCCTCCTCCTCCTCCTCCTCCTCGCTCCTCCCCTCCTCGCTCCTCCTCCTCCCTCGCTCTCTCCTCCTCCTCCTCCTCCTCCTCCTCCTCCTCCTCCTCCTCCTCCTCCTCCTCCTCCTTAGGCTTGCCGCCGAGACAAGGTGGAGGGGGAGGGGGACGGCGGGGCAGCGAGGGCCCCGGCGCGGCGCCTCCCCGCACCCCGACGAGTGCCGCCAG